CACTGCAGTTCGTTCTGCAAACACAGGGAGGATTGGAGTCATTGACAGGTGAGGTTTCCAAAGCCCACCTGCCAGTTGATTCTTCCTAGACACTGAGAGTCATTTGATTGATGGATAGATGGACTGATGGACAGCTAGAGAAAGGTAGATCAATTCATACAGTGGGGTTACTTTTCACTGAATAGCACTGAAAGTCCTGCAGTATCAGTCAAGTTGATGAAACTTGCCTAAAATATTTCTTCAGTCAAAAATTTTTGCTTTGTCCATTTTCTCATCTAAACCATGGAATCCTACCAAGCATAGCCATTTACTTAAGTGCATATCTTTGATTGGGGAAGTTGTAAACAATATGTCAGTTTTTTTACAATTCCTCCTGGACCTTTTGTGTACTCTTTTTCCCCATCAGGAGGGGCTTGTCTCCTTCAAGGAAGTGGCTGTGTATTTCTCCAAGGAGGAGTGGTCTCAGTTGGATCCTCACCAAAAAGCGCTGTATTGGGAAGTCATGATGGAAAATTATAGGAACGTGACCACTCTTGGTAAGGGTTTCCTATTCTCCAATCAGAGAGTTCAGGAAGACATTTTGAAACTAGATGTCACAGCTTTTGTTGTTGTTCTTCTTCTTTGCACAGTCATCCATAGTTTTAGACTGGATTTGGCTTTTTTATCCACCTATAAAAAAGTATATCAAGTATAAGACGCACCAGACTATAAGACGCACCTACCTTTTTTGGTGAGGAAAAGAAGAAAAAGAAATCTGCCTTTGCCTCCCAGCAATTTTGCCTCATTGCAGTAAACAGCAAACAGCCTGCTTTACTTTCATTTTCATTTTCAGCATAGCTTGATTAGCACAAGAAAAAAAAAATCTGTTCCAGCAAGATTTACCTCCTTGCAGCAAGCAGCAGAGGTCCGGGCAAAACAGCTGAGAGTTGGGAGGCCGATCCAATCAACTTGTGCTAATTAGGCTGTGCTGAAGCTGAAACGTGCTGTTTCTTCTTGCTGCTTGCTACAAGGAGGTAACTGCTGGGAGGCAGAGGCCAAAGGGTGGGGGCCAGTGGATGGGCAGGGCTACATTCCGTGTATAAGACACACCTAAATTTTCACCCCCTTTTAGGAGGGAAAAAGGTGCGTCTTATACTCCAAAAAATACGGTAAATAATACAATTCTGTCTGAAGTCCATTTCTTTCAAAATGTTAAACAAGAAAATGCAATTCTGATTGTCAAAGGCCTTCTCCACATCTAAGATCAGTGCAGCTTTTTTATTATGTTGTTTTAAGTTAGAACAGTTGTTCAGTTTGACAATTGTTCGGTTAGAACAATTAATCAGTAGAACAACTTGCCTCCAGAAGTTGTGAATCCTCCAACACTTTTTAGCTTTTAAGAAGAGATTGGATTCCTGCCTGAGCAGAGGGTTAGACTAGAAGTCCTCCAAGGTCCCTTCCAATTCTATTCTATTCTATTCTATTCTATTCTATTCTATTCTATTCTATTCTATTCTATTCTATTCTATTCTATTCTATTTTTACAAAATTTGCAATATTTTTCTAATATTACCTCTTAACTGTCAATTAGATAAAAATCAATATTGGTCTTCATGAATAAATTCTTTTAAAGCTAGTTGCATCCTTCCAGCCAGAATCATTTCAAAAACTTTGTAATCATGTTCAAAAAATGATATTGGCTGGTTGTTTGGGGGTAATGTCTTTTGATACTATTAACTATTTCTTATTAAAAAATCTCCAATGACATGTCATTTTTGGGGTAGCAGAAGGAAAAGGTCTGTTCTCCTTCTCTGAGAAAGGAAATAGATCAAATGGTTCTCTGATTAGATACATCCTGTGCCATTTATCATCTGATGAATACTTCTATTTAAGTATATCAAATTAGAGACAAATTAACTCCTTGGCTTGAAAAGATGCTTAAACTCCATCACACATTTCAGCTTTTTGGGGCCAGATGCTTCCATATCAGTCCTGTGAAGGATTACTTGATGTTTTTGACTTAATGACTTTTCTTAATTTTCCGTTCTATCCTGAGCCTTGGAACGAGGGGCAAAATGTGCCATTGTTCTATTGCAAATACGCTATGTAGGTTTATTAAAAGAACTCTAGGGTTTTTTTTCCTTTGAAACACTGTGATTTTGGCAAGAGAAAAATGAAAAGCAAAAGAGGGTACTTTTTTTATATCAGGGAATTACACAGCAGGTATCCAAATGAAATCAGAGCCGCTGACACAAACTTGTGGTTTTATATAAATAAATATATGTTTACAGCAGACAAGATGTAAATAGGAGCATCATGAGGTAAATTACAGAGCACATTGGGCACACAGAAGAAAAAGGCGGGAAAAAAGGAAACACCCTCTCTACACCCACCACAGCCAATCACAACGCAGATTGCCTCACACAGGAGCCAGCATTCTCCAACCCAACAACTATAACTGTATGTTCTGGCTCATTGTACAGCCCCACTGTTCCAGCTACTAAATTTAAATATCTTTACAGAACAAAAGAAACATTTAAAAATTGATTTATTTCTTACAGGTTTCTTCTCCTAATGTCTCCTTGTTATAAGGATAATTCTAATGAAAAAGGATGATTTCAATATTTTCAACCCTTTTATGCCTCATGAAGGGGCATTTATGCCTCAGAGGGGAGAGCCGAGGATTTTGTTCAATATCTGTATGACAAAATCACTCAGATTCGGGCAGGTCTGGACTCTGACGGGATAGATCCAACGAGGGTGACGGAGACAGGTCTTGAGACTGTTATCTGGGATGAGTTTGATCCTGTGACCCCAGATGACGTGGACAGGATTCTGGGTAGATTGAACACGACCACATGTTTGTTGGACCCGTGTCCCTCCTGGTTAGTGCTGGCTTCCCGGGAGGTGACGCGAGGCTGGCTCCAGGGGATTATAAATGCTTCGTTGGGTGAGGGTGTCTTTCCCGCCGCCTTGAAAGAGGCGGTGGTGAGGCCTCTCCTCAAGAAGCCTTCCCTGGACCCGGCAGTATTGGCTAATTATCGTCCAGTCTCCAACCTTTGCTTCGTTGCGAAGGTTGTTGAGAGTGTGGTTGCGCGACAGCTACCCCAGTACCTGGATGAAGCGTCGTATCTAGATCCGTTCCAGTCGGGCTTCAGGCCTGGGTACAGCACGGAAACGGCATTGGTCGCGTTGGTTGATGATCTCTGGAGGGCTCGGGACAGGGGTTGTTCCTCTGTCCTGGTCCTGTTAGACCTCTCAGCGGCTTTTGATACCATCGACCATGGTATCATGCTGCACCGGCTGGAAGGGTTGGGGGTGGGAGGCACCGTTTTACGGTGGTTCTCCTCCTTTCTCTCTGACCGGTCGCAGTCTGTGTTGACAGGGGGGCAGAGATCGACCCCGAGGCCCCTTATATGTGGGGTGCCGCAGGGATCGGTTCTCTCGCCCCTTCTGTTCAACATTTATGTAAAGCCGCTGGGCGAGATCATCCGTGGTTTCGGGGTGAAGTACCATCTGTACGCTGATGACACCCAGCTGTACATCTCCACCCCGGACCACCCCAACGATGCCCTTGAAGTGATGTCCCAGTGCCTGGAGGCCGTGCGGATCTGGATGGGGAGAAACGGGCTCAGGCTCAACCCATCCAAGACCGAGTGGCTGTGGTTTCCGACGTCCCGATATAGTCAGCTGGCACCATCGCTGGCTATTGGGGGCGAATCATTGGCCCCCACGGAAAGGGCTCGTAACTTGGGCGTCCTCCTGGACTCACGGCTGTCTTTAGAAGAGCACTTGACGGCCGTGACCGGGAGGATTTTTCATCAGGTTCGCCTGATTCGCCAGTTGCGTCCCTTTCTAGATCGGGACTCGTTACGCACAGTCACTCATGCCCTCGTCACCTCTCGTCTGGACTATTGTAATGCTCTCTACATGGGGCTCCCCTTGAGGTGCACCCGGAGGCTCCAACTGGCGCAGAGTGCGGCCGCGCGGGTGGTTATGGGAGCAACATGGAGCTCCCATGTAACACCTCTCCTGCGCGAGCTGCACTGGCTCCCGGTGGTCTTCCGGGTGCGCTTCAAGGTTCTGGTTACCACCTTTAAAGCGCTCCATGGCTTGGGACCTGGTTACTTACGGGACCGCCTACTACCATCAACAGCCTCCCACCGACCAGTACGCTCCCACAGAGAGGGGCTCCTCCAGGTGCCGTCGGCCAAACAATGTCGGCTGTCGGCCCCTAGGGGGAGAGCCTTCTCTGTGGGGGCACCGACGATCTGGAATGAGCTCCCCCCAGAGATACGGAGGATTCCGGATCTGCGCACCTTCCGCCGCGAGTTGAAGACGCTTTTGTTTCATCAAGCTGGCCTCGCCTAAATCTCCTCCTTTCTAAAGTGTAAATTCTAAATTTTAATGGATTTTAAAATATGGGTATTTTAAATTGGGTATTAATTCAGCCAAATTTATTTAATTCATTTTATTCGATTTTAAATTTTGTATATCTATGTGTTTTATTTCATGGCTGTGCACCGCCCTGAGTCCTTCGGGAGTAGGGCGGTATAGAAATTCAATAAATAATAATAATAATAATGAATGTTTCTATTCTGTGCTACTGTAAGCACATAAAATTGCAAGATTATTGTTTCTGACATCTTTTTTCCTAACCTTATTACCAGTTTCATTTCTCTTTTCCTTTGAAGGTACTTATGAGCAGAAGAATAAAGATTTCATTGAACCATTCCAACTGATTAGGCATGGAAAAGGAATTGAGAAACATGCAGTTCAAATGGAACTAGAAAATTGTCAGAGAAACTGGAATAAGGAAAGCTCATCTTCCATTGATGCACAGATTCAAGACTTTCATACCCAACAAGGAAAACACAAGAAAAAACATATTGGAAAAAATGTAAAACTATTCAAAGACACATCCAGTGTAAATGAACACTATCCAACCCAATCCAAAGGAGAAGATTATATATGCAGAGACAACGGAAAACATTACAATGGGACTTTCACTCTTTCTCGAGATAATGGGACACTTACATCTCATAAAAGGATTCACACGGGAGAGAAGCCATTTAAATGCATGGTGTGTGGAAGGGGCTTTAGCCAGCAGAGCAACCTTAGTTCCCATAAAAGGATCCACACAGGGGAGAAGCCATATAAATGTATGGAATGTGGAAAGACCTTTACTCAGAGTGTTCAACTTACTTGCCATAAAACAATCCACACAGGAGAGAGACCATATAAATGCAAAGAATGTGGAAAGAGCTTCAGTCAACCCAGTAGTCTTACTGTTCATAAAAGGATCCACACAGGGGAGAAGCCATATAAATGTATGGAGTGTGGAAAAACCTTTTCTTACAGTGGTCATCTTACCTCCCATAAAAAGATCCACACAGGGGAGAAACCATATAAATGCATAGAGTGTGGGAAGACCTTTAGTCGTAACATTCAACTTACTTCCCATAAAAGGATCCACACAGGGGAGAAGCCATATAAATGCTTGGAGTGTGGAAAAGGCTTCTGTGAAAACTGGTCTCTTACTGTTCATAAAAGGATCCACACAGGAGAGAAGCCATATAAATGTATGGAATGTGGAAAGGGCTTTAGCCAACATAGTAATCTTACTTCCCATAAAAGGATCCACACAGGGGAGAAACCATATAAATGCTTGGAGTGTGGAAAGATGTTTATTTATAGCAGTCATCTTACTTCCCATAAAAGGATCCACACAGGGGAGAAGCCATATAAATGCATGGAATGTGGAAAGACATTTACTCATAACATTCAGCTTACTTCCCACAAAAGGATCCACACAGGGGAGAAACCATATAAATGCATGGAGTGTGGAAAGGGTTTCAGCCAACATGGTAATCTTACTTCCCATAAAAGGATCCACACTGGGGAGAAACCATTTAAATGCATGGAATGTGGAAAGACATTTACTCATAGCAGTCAACTTATTCCCCATAAAAGGATCCACACTGGGGAGAAACCATATAAATGTATGGACTGTGGAAAAACCTTTACTCATAGCATTCAACTTAGTTCCCATAGAAGGATCCATACTGGGGAGAAACCATATAAATGTATGGAGTGCGGAAAGGGCTTCAGCCAACATAGTAGTCTTACTTCCCATAAAAGAATCCACACAGGAGAGAAGCCATTTAAATGTATGGAATGTGGAAAGGGCTTTACTTATAGCAGTCACCTTACTTCCCATAGCTGGATCCACATAGGAGAGAAACCATTTAAATGCATGGAATGTGGAAAGACCTTTACTTACAGCAGTCATCTTACTTCCCATCAAAGGATCCACACAGGGGAGAAGCCATTTAAATGCATGGAGTGTGGAAAGGGCTTCAGCCAACGCAGTAATCTTACTTCCCATAAAAGGATCCACACAGGGCCGAAGCCATATAAATCTCGGGCATGTGGCAAGAGCTACAAGAGGAGGAATGACCTAAGAGAGATACATTTAGGTGAGAATCTTTGTTAGTTTTATATTTAGTTGGCTACATTTATGCATTTCCTATTTATATATACCGAAACTAGGTAGGGAAGGTTTTTTTGAATTTGACCTTCAAAATTGGCAGTCCTAGAGAGATGAATTTACTGATGATGAATAATAGGCATATACTGTTTTAATTATGAACTGAATTTTTCAGAATACTGTCATCTGGAGGTGGCAAATTCTATTACACATAAAAAAAAAGTTGTTAAATTTATGTTTGTTCCGGATTCCTGTTGGCGGTCAAATTCAAGAAATTGGTGGTTTTAGGCACCTCTATTGCTGGACTGTTATTTTATGAAGATGTCGTCTTTATTGTGTCTTTATAAGTGAGCTTCTTGCTCCCAATTATTTGTTCTTCCCATTTGATCATGGTTTTTGGAGGAATATGAACAAACAGACCTTTAATAGGCACAGCTTCCCCAAGCAGCAGAAGGAGCTGTATTTCCCTGATGTATATTTTTTCAAGGTTTATTGGTGCTAGTTTCGCTATAGCCGATATATAGATAAAAATTCAACTGATTCACAGTAACTTTTCATACTTTTAATTTTTATTAAATCTTAAGAGCTGTTTTTCCCTTCCTTTTCATTCCTTATTACATACACAATTTCTCAGTGGATTTTACACTTCTCTGTTCTCGCAACAATTTGGAAATGGCAAATTCATTGGATTTGAATGAATATTATAATTCAAAGGGAATTCAAGTTCCATCAAGAGTTTACAGAGTGAGATGGAATATGATATTAAATTGCTTTATTAAATAACGGGGGTATTAAATTAAAAATCACAACTAAGAGAAATTGCACTTTGAATTTTTCATGATTTCCTCTTCCTTCCTTCCTTCCTTCCTTCCTTCCTTCCTTCCTTCCTTCCTTCCTTCCTTCCTTCCTTCCTTCCTTTCTTTCTTTCTTTCTTTCTTTCTTTCTTTCCTTTTGTACCTAGTTAAGGATATTCAGGAGGATGAAGATGAAAATGACTGCAGTGTGCTGACATTGGAAACTATCAACCAAGAAAAGAGATCTTTGGAAACCAGTGTGGACCAAAAGAAAATAATATGAAATTATGAAAAATTACTGCAGTTCCTCCTGACCAAACACACAGAAATGAGAAGGGGAACTACCTGTGAGATGTGAAAATACCAGAAAATAATACTAGCCAACAAGATTTTGCATCCTGTACACCTTTAATGTATCTTACAGATTTTTGGCTGCTAATCACAAAAATAGCCTGTACTGCTTTATAGAAATCTACTCTTTTTACTGTACGTATACAACAGCAATGTATACCTACAGTATCTATTGGCTGTATGGCACACATACAAACCATGAAAACATGGAACTGTTGTCGTTGAGAATTTTCTTAACAACTTCAGAGCACCAGACTACATTCAGCTGGTTGACAAATGTGCTATAGTGTACAAGACCATGAAGTGCAACATGTCACTGAAGATGCATTTTTTGCCTTCACACTTGGACTTCACCCTCAAAAATTTAGGTCCAGCCAGTAATAAACATAGTGAAAGGTTTCACTAGAACATTGCCATTTATGTTGCTGAAAAATTTGTTAAGCAAGTTTTGCTCATTTTATGATCTTTCTTTCCACAGTTGTTAAGTGAATCACTGCAGTTGTTAAATTAGTAACACAGTTGTTAAGTGAATCTGGTTTCCCCACTAACTTTTCTTGTCAGAAGGTTGCAAAAGCTGATCACGTGACCTCAGGACACTGCAACCATCATAAATGGGAGTCAGTTGTCAAGCAGCCAAATGTAAATCACATGACCATGGGGATGCTGCAATGGTCGTAAGTGTGAAAAATGATCATATCACTTTTTTCAGTGCTGTTGTAATTTTATACAGTCACTAAGCAAACTGTTGTAAGTTGAGGACTACCTGTATATGAGAGAATCATTAAATCATTAAATACTATCAATTTATAAGATATATGCTGATGACACAGTTCTGCTTGCCAGTAAGCATGAACACCTTCAGTTACTCATCATCAGAGTCACAGAAATATCTGAAAAACATGGCTTGAAGCTTAACATCTCAAAAACCAAGATCATGGTCATCAGCAAACGACCCATTAATTTACCACCAATAACTTCGGAAGGAATACCACTAGAAAAAGTTGAAAGGATCACGTACTTTGGCTCTAATTTACATGAAAGCTGGAACATGACCACTGAAGTAAAAACAAAGAAAGTTCGAACAGCACTCTTCAAAATGAAAAAGGTCTTCTGCAGTCAGGACATAAGCCTAAGATTGAAAATCAGTCTTGTCAGATGTTACATCTTTTCTATCCTGCTCTACGGAGTAGAGAGTTGGTCTCTGACAGAAAGTCACTTGAAGAGACTGGAAGCATTTGAAATGTGGATTTACAAGGAAAGATTGAAGGCAAATGAGGTCCAGGAAGAAGAAAAACATGGCTTCAAAATCTAAAGGACTAGTTTGGACAAAATTCAACAGCACTTCTTCATGCGGCTGTTGATAAAAATAGAATCGCCAACATGCTCATCAACGTCTGATAATGGATATGGCACAAGAAGAAGAAGATGTGAAAGAAAGGAATTGGCTAGATTAGTCAGACAAATTAAGGATATATCATTTGATAGGATAGTGACAGTGACAGTGAGGGCTAAGCATTAAAAATATCAGGCAGTGATAAAGAGGAGCAAATAGACTATGAGAGTCAGTGATAAGAATTAAGACTGTCATGTTTACAAAATAATAATACAAGTTCTGTAAGCTAATTTCCGAAAGCCAAAGAGAAATAAAAGTAATAATTGAAGCACAGTATTCAACTGTGTATTCAACACAATATTCACCTGAAATATTGATGGCTTATTTTAAAAATAAATTTGTGGATACTGGAATATCAACATTTAATGGGTACAGATATATTAATCATTACAATGGACCTCAGTAACTGCTCCAGAAGTTAATAATTTCACAACAGATAGCTGGCAATCTCAGGAGAAGATATGTTACTACCAGAACATTTAAAGGCATTTAAATCCTTGTTTACATGTATCAAATCATTGGACAAATTCCTATAGGTTATAAAAACAGAGTAGTAATTCCAGTGCTTAAAAAAAGAATTCTACAAACCCACTAACTTGCCCCATACGTTTCATTGACACAGGGTGTAAATTATGTATAAAGTATTTTTTTAAACCTAGACAGTATGTTTAAAAGCAGAGACTTCACTTTGCAGTCAAAGATCCATATTGTCAAAGCGATGACTTTCCCAGTGGTAACGTATGGCTGTGAGAGTTGAACCATAAGGAAGGCTGAATGCCGAATAATCAATGTTTTTGAATTGTGGTGTTGGAGAAGACCTATTGGAAGAGTTCCTTGGACTGCGAGGAGATCATATCAGTCAACCCTAAAGAATGTCAACTCTGACTGTTCTTTGGATGGATGGACTGAAGCTGAAGCTCAAATACTTTGGCCACCTAATGAAAAGACTCCAATTATTGGTAAATACGCTGATGATGGGAAAGACTGAAAGGAAACGGAGATGGCAGAGGATGAAATGGTTAGACACAATGAACATGATTTTTGGCAAACTCCAGGAGACAGTGGAAAATGGGAGACTGGCATGCTGTGGTCCATGGGGCCGTAAAGAGTCAGACAAGAGTCAGGCACAATTTTAGCAACTGAACAACAACAAAAAATATTTTAAACAGACTGATTGGATAGATGTTAGGCAGATTGTAGTAGAACAGAAGGCAGGCTTCAGAAAATGATATATACTATAAATCGGTGTTTACAAATCTGGATGGAGCAGCTCAGACAGGCAAATAGCCTGCAAATGACCAGACCCATGTTGGAAAAGGCAACAGGGAGGGCGCAGTGTCCCTTTTCTTCTGGCCGCTGCCAAGCGCTAAGATCCCAGATAGCTAGTGGCTAGTCAGGCAGGCTGACAGTACATGCAGCAGTGCCAGGCAAGTCTTTGAGCCTGAAGCTCAAATGGTGGCCTGTCCATCAATTTTTGAGTGCGAAGCTCAATTCAAAATGGCCGTCAGATTGTGGAGCGCAAGACTCCTGAAAGCGCAACACTCCTGTCCAATTCGGCTGAAAATTCAGCCAGGAAACCCCGGTCGTGGCTGCTGACTCGGGGGAGTGCTGGGCTGTCACCTTTAGCGCAGGCAGGCAAATTTAGGGAGCACAAAGCTCCTGTGATGAAAGAAACGTCAGGCAGCTCCCTCAGAGGTCTTGAAAGAAGATGGCCATCTGACCAGCCCATTCAGGAGCGCAAAGCTCCACCAAATCGCTCAGCACAATAACGGAAGCGCAGAGCTCCACAACCGACAGTCCCAGCTCCCTAGGGAACATGAAGCTCCTCCGCGACTCTGGAACGCCTCCTGTTCAACAGAGCGCCTTGAGAGATCAGGAAGATGACACCTGACAGGGAGCTGGGAAGCCCTCTTCCAAGGGCAGACCAAAGATCGGTTGGGAGATGCAGTTGCGATTCCACCAAGAGATGAAGACAGCATTCCACTCACAATTGCAGATCAAGGTAGGACAAAGGTGTAGAGAAAACATCCATAAGGTGAAACAGCAGTCAGGAAAGGTGAAGAGAGTTGCTCTGACACGTCCGTCAAGTCTGAAGGACTGAGTCAAAAGCTGGAAGCCCCTAGCAACAAGGACGGGACTTAACAACTCTGACAGACTCAGTCCTTCAACTGAACAGATGGGTACAACCCATGCCTGGCTGCTATGGAGAATGCCTATATATAGCATTTATTGACTCATCACTTGCTTTTGATACAATAAGTAGAGGAAAACGATGGGAGATGTTTCTAGCCACTGATATAGATTACCTATATATAAATTGATGAAGATACTTATGGGCAAATATGGATAAACCAAAGTGTCTCCCTAACAAAGCATTAAAACCCCAAAAGGTGTCCATCACGGCTGTATACTGGCTTCTCTTTAATTTTTATATAAACAATGTTTATAATTAACAACGCTAATAATCCTTTTTATGCCTCATCAACTGAAAGTAGAAAAGTCTTTTTATTACACGCAGATAACATTGTACTCATATTGATAGCATTAATTCGAAAAAGGAGAATCCTGATAGAACTTGTAATAAGTCATAGGTGAAAAATTTGATCCATTACTTATTGCACTGCAAATTACATCAGGAACCTAGAACTAGATTCATCATGCCTCTGTTTGTCCAACTGAATCAGTCTAGTTTAGAAGATTTTCTTTTACTATTGACTGATATAGATGAACATGTAACAAAACAATAACAATGCAAGATACAAAGAGTGCTGTTAAAATTAAAGGGGATGTATTGAACCGATATGGATTGTTGTAATTGTATAGAATTTTCCTAAAGTCAGTGTTGCCAATAAACATATATAGTATTAAAAAAATCGGACTCATCTACAGTATAGAACTGAGACTTGAGTCAACTGATATGAATGAAGTTATTCAGTCAAAGGTTTCATTATAGAAGAGAACCATCACATACCTATCCATGTGGAAAGAGCTGAAAGGATGTAAAATTCCTCTCTTACAAAAGGAGCCAAGATGCCGGGAAGCTCACAAAATGCATGTATGAAAACTTTTTTTCGAGCATTTATATTTTGCTTTCTATGGTGTTAACAGGGGTGAAGAAAAATCTAAATTGGATTTAAATAAAATTAATTAAATATCAATGGTGTGCTTACTTTTCAAACATGATTAAATTCTCTTTCTCTTTAGTTGTGTCATAAATTCGTAAAATGAACATAGCAGAGAAGCCATATAAATGTTTGGAGTGTGAAAAGAACCTCAGTCATAATGGCATAAAAGGATTCACACAGAAGAGAAACCATGTAAATGTGGATTCTGGAAAGAGTTTCAGGAGGAGCCGTGACCCAATTTCCCAAAACAAATCTATTTTGGTGAGAGGCCATGTAAATTCTAGATCTAGTTGGTTAAATCTATGCATTTCCTATTTACATATACTGAACTAGGAAAATAAATTTCTTTTTTAGTTTAGTTTGACCCTCACAATTGGTAATATTAACATAAAAGACATAAAAGGTAAAGGTTCCCCTTGTACATATGTGGTAGTCATTCCATTTCAAAGCCGAAGAGCCAGCGCTGTCCGAAGACATGGTCATGTGGCCGGCGTGGTCATGTGGCCAGCATGACAACGCCAAGGGCTCACGGAATGCCATTACCTTCCCACCAAAGGTGGTCCCTATTTTTCTACTTGCATTTTTATGTGCTTTCGAACTGCTAGGTTGGCAGAAGCTGGGACAAGTAACGGGATTTCACCACATTACGCGGCACTAGGGATTCAAACCGCTGAACTGCCAACCTTTTGATTGACAAGCTCAGTGTCTTAGCCACTGAGCCACCACGTTCCATTAAAGACATAGGGATCTATAATTTCTACATTTAAACTGCCTTTTGCCACATTGCCAGAGATGATTAATTATTCCAAAACTTACATTGAAAAGGAGAGCTATTTTAAAGGCTCAGAGATCTCCCTTGTGGTTATGTTAAATGTGCTTTCTTCTAGTCCACCCTTGTTATTGTTTCTCTCCAATATTTTTCCCTAAAACTCTTGAGGGGGGTTTTTTATCCTAAAGGCATCGTAAGTTTTTTTCTATTTCTTTAGGCCCAAGGATTCAATAGGGGAGATCTTTAAAAAGTTGAAGAGGTGCTTGTGAAGGCATCCTTGAAGCTCCATCTATTTTTACCAGGGGTGAAATCTAAAATTTGTTACTACAGTTCTGTGGGCGTGGCTTGGTGGGGGGGGTTAATGTGACTGAGTGGGCGTGGCCAACTCCCCCCCCCTTTTAAAAGCATATTTTCTCCAACCTTAAGAGGTGGCAGAAAAAAATGCTTTTAGAAGCCTCTGACTAACAGACAAGTCAGCTGGGATCGCCAGAGGCTTTTAAAGGCATTTTTTTCCCCTACAACCTCTTTGGCCGAAGGCGTTGCAGAAAAAAATGCTTTGAAAAGCCTCTGACAATCCCAGCTGAGCCGCGTGATCATCAGAGGCTTTTTTTTTTACTTTTAAATCAACAATGGGAAAGTTTCAGCTGGAATTCAGAAAAAAAACACTTCAGAAAAAAAAGATGGAATGAATAAGATACCATGCAAACATAAATTAAAACCAGAAAGTTCAGTGTGGGTGCTTTTATCAGACAACCATATAGTGCAAAATTCTTCATCTGAGAAAGGTGTAAAGATTTATAATCCCACGGGTTCACCTTTAAAAGAATACCACCTGCCCTCCCCCTCCGGGAGAGTTGCTCTTCTGCCAAATTCTTAGCAATTGGTAGTTAAAAATTCCTCTTTCTGTAGATAAAAGGAGAAACGATTCGACATATATTTTTTGGGGGGGAAATACTGTTTACCTAGAAAGTCACTTAGCTTATATTCCTTTCCAGCATTTTTACTGATATTTTTGTGACATGATGCTAATATGCTTTGTGATGTCTACTTTTGATCTCCATTTTTGTTACCAGAACAGGAGTAGGGACAAGGACCCAGCGAGTTTAGTTAACAAGAACATTAATAACACTAAAGCAATAGCACTTAAACTTATATACCACTTCATAATGCTTTACAGCCCTCTCTAAGCAGTTTACACAGTCAACATATTGTCCCTAACAATCTGGGTCCTCATTTTACCGACCTCAGAAGGATGGAAGGCTGAGTCAACTCTTCAGCCTGGGGAAACTTGAACTGTCAAATCGCAGGAGCCAGCAGTCAGCAGAAGTAGCCTGCAGTACTGCATTCTAACCATTGCGCCACTGCGGCTCCTAAAAGGTAAGAAAAAGTAGGAAGAAATAATTGCATTGGCTGTTTCACAATACAGGTAGTCCTTGACTTATAACCATTCATTTAGCAACTGTTTGAAGTTACAGTGGCATTAAAAAAAAGGGATTTATGACGAGTTATCACAGGATTGTTGCAGTCACATGATCAAAATTCAGGTGTTTGACAACCAACATGCATGTATAACGGTTGCAGACTCCCAGGGTCACATGATCATCATTGGCAACTTTCTCAGCCAGCTTTCAACAAGCCAAGTCAATGAGGAATCTGGTTTTGCTTAATGACCATGTAATTCATGTAACGACTGCAGGGATTTGATTAACAACCATGGCAAAACAAATCAGACATAATTCAATTGCTTAGCCATGGAAGTTCTGATCCCGATTGTGGTCATAACTCGAGGATTACCCGTACAATATTTCATTATGCCCTGGAAAGTCAGAGAGATGAACAAGACATGCTGAGAGAGAATTTTGTCACATTTTACCCTGGGAGACTTTGTTTGTTTTGCATCCACACTTTGCAGCAAAAAATAAAAGGTGCTAGAATCAAATGCATCCATGCTAGCAGTCTTTCTTTGATCAAAAACCTGTCTAAAATAAGATGTGGAAAAGGAGGGATGGTGGGAAAGTCATCTAGAATTAGAATAACTTTATTGTCACTTTGAATGTACACTAATCGGCATACATTAAAATGAAATTTCATTGCATGCAGCTCTCAAAGGGTCACCACCTTCAATATACACTACATAAACATCACTAAATAAATAAATAAATACAAAATTATGCATATACCCACATACATTATATGACAGAGAGAAACAACACAGTCTAGTTTGGAGGTATACATGTACATGGCGAGAAAAACGAATCTCGCGAGTTTACCAGACAGATGGCAAAGCTGTTACAGAATCTGGTACTGTAGTCCTGCTAGAAATACGTCGAAACCTCTTCCCAGAGGGAAGAAAACAGAAACAGACCGTGAAATGGGTGTGTGTGGGGGGTCTCTAACAATGCTTTGAGCTGTAAGCACATAGCGGTTATAAGCAATATCCTGCATAATGGACAGCGAGCTTCCTTTAATCTTGGCTGTCCTCACCACTCTCCGAATGGATTTTCTATCTGAGGCAGAGGTGATATTCAGCAGGTTCTGACCAGTTCTGGAGAACCGGTAGCGGAAATTTTGAGTAGTTCAGAGAACTGGTAAATACCACCTCTGACTGGCCCTGCCCCCATGTATTCTCTGCCTCCCGAGTCCCAGCTGATCGGGAGGGAATGGAGATTTTACAGTATCCTTCCCCTGGAGTGGGGAGGGAATGGAGATTTTACAGTATCCTTCCCCTGGAGTGGGGAGGGAATGGATAATTTACAGTATCCTTCCCCTGCCACGCCCACCAAGCCATGCCACGTCCACCAAGCTACGTCTACAGAACAGGCAGTAAAAAATTTTGAATCCCACCACTGATCTGAGGCACTGCTGCCCCCAAACCAAACAGTGATGCAGTTTGTTAAAGCGCTCTCAATCGTGCCTCTGTAAAAAGTGTCCAGGACAGAAAAAGAAAGACGTGCTCTCCTCATCTGACGCAAGAAATGCAAAAGCTGATTTGCACATTTCACTAAGGATGACATGTGAAGAGACCAGTCTGCAAAGAGTAATAGTTATATTTGATAAAAGAGCATGTACAGGGCTTTTAAATACTTTATCCACTTTGTTATCATAAAATAAATAAGCATGCCATCCAAATTCAAGATCAAAACTTTCTATATTCAATATTCCAGTCTTTTTCCTTCCAAACCAGTCACTTGCTTGAGTCAAAGCTGCTGCTTCATAATATAACTGTAGGTTTGGAAGTTTAAGACCTCCCCTTTCTGGAACATCTTGCATAATTTTCAATTTCACTCTCGGTTTTTTCTCATTCCAGACAAACTTATTCAGTCCTCTTTGCCACTCTTTCAGTTGTTTATCACTTTTAAGCACCGGAATCATTTGAAACAGAAATAGAAATCTTGGCAAAATATTCATCTTTACTGCTGCTATTCTTCCAAGTAAAGAAAACTGCAGTTTTTTCCATGTCTCCATGTCTTTTTGCACCTCTCGCCACAAAACCTCATAATTATTTTGAATCAGTTTCATATTAGATTCTGCAACCTGAACTCCTAAATATTTAACCTTTGACACAATCTCAAAACCTGCCCTCCTTTCAAGTTCATATTTTCGTTCTTGTGTCATATTTTTGACTATCATCTTAGTTTTTTTCTGGTTCAGTCTGAATCCTGATACTGCACCATAATCTCTTATAATGTCTTTCATCAGGATTATTGATTCCACCGGTTGTGTTAGGGTAACAACCAGATCATCTGCAAATGCCCTTATTCTGTAATCTTCTTGCCTTATCACTATACCTTTCAAGCTAATCGAATCCCTTATTATATTCAACAAGACTTCTAATGTTAAAATAAAAAGCAATGGGGATAACGGACAACCTTGTCTTGTTCCTTTTTCAATTTTGAAATCTGTTGTCAAACTTCCATTAATAATAATCTGTGCCTTTTGCTCTTGATAAATTGCTGAAACCGCCAATATAAATTGATCCCCAAAGTCCATTTTTTTCAAAGTCTTTAATAGAAAATTCCAATCCACTCTATCAAAGGCTTTCTCCGCATCCAAAAAAGCCAGCACTGCAGGGATCTGTTTATTCTTCTCAAGATATTCCAGTAAATCTATCACTTGCCTTACATTGTCCTTCATATATCTACCCTCTATAAATCCCGCTTGATCTTCATGAATCACCTCTTGAATCACTGGCATCAACCTGTTGGCTAATACTTTTGCATAAATTTTGTAGTCATTATTCAGAAGAGATATTGGCCTATAATTT